ATGGTTGGTTGGTCGATTTAGACCCGTCCCACCTCCTTACTTAGAGTATCTCCAACCGATATGTCAAAAGTGCCACATAGACATTTAACAGTTAGAAATAACATCTCACACACTCCAACCGATGTGTCAAAGCTGATGTGGAATGAAGGCTGAAGATTGAGATGTTATTTTTGACATCCCAAAAGCAAGATGTCAAATAAATATTTTATTATTTTTTCTTTTCTATTTTTTTTAATTAAAAATAAATCAACACTAAAATGTAATAAAATAATAATTTAATTTGACATATCGGGTGGAGTGTAAAGCTATGTAAGATGTCAAATTGCCACATCAGCCATCAAATTTAAATTTGATGTTTGGTATTTGACATCTCCCTTGGAGATGCTCTTACTTGCCCTTAACACTGTTCCCTCTAAAAATGCTAAAATAAGCATATCAAGACTTCATAAGAAGCTTGTAGCTCAAGTGGTAATAACAGTTACTCTTGCACTAGAGATTGTGCGTTTGAATATCCTCTATTCCAATATCGCTAAAATAAAAATATTTATAAATAAAAAATAAAAAAAACAGATTAGTGTCTAATCCTATCCTATGTTACATGTGGGGTCCATCGCCGCCCTTGGATTTCCCATCAGTGCCACGTGTCACTAACCCACCAGCGGATCCAAGCTACCAGCAACTTACATGCTAGTATTCAAACCCAAATTATGAAACATGGGGCCCCATGTGATATTGGAAAATGCTGGTGTCAGCAAAACGGTGTCGTGCCGTTCTAAGCTTGAAGCTTTTTAATAGTTGCTGAATTGGAGAGCAAGCGTGGCTGTACAAAACTGCAAACCGACAACGTAGAAGTATGAAATGATAACTGAAAAACGAAAGCCCTCCTCCCCTCCCTCGTGGCCTTCTCTGACATGGGTCATCTTCTTCTTGCTTGGTTTTAGATTCTTTGTCTGCCTTGCATCTTAGAACCACAACGGTTCCTTTATAATAAAGCTTTTTTAATTCAATGGATCAGATCTAACAAGGACCCCACTTGCCCATCTTCTCCCACTTCATTCAGTGCAGGTCTGTTTGTTTCTCTGTTTTCTTAGTTCTTTTTGGGCAATTGAATTGCTGGGGTGCTTGTATTTTTGAGTGGTTTTTTATTTATGTTTTGGAATTGGTTGTGTTTTCCTTCATATTTGCTCATCTGGGTTTGTCTGATAATGGTGAAAATATCTTTTTGATTTCTGTTTAGACACATACATGAAGAGTATATTATTCAGTTTAGTCTTATTTGACAGCTTTCATTGTTAGTGAATATGAGGCTTTGATTTGTTGTTGACTTTTCTTCCTTTGATTTTTTATTAGTTAATGGGATTTGGTGCTTAAATTCGGTCGGATTATAGCAAGTATTATTTTGTGGCAACCCTTTAGCATTTGCATTGGGGTGTATCTTATAGAAAGAAGGTTGGTCTTTGGTGACAATTGAAAGAACATTCAGTTTCTTTATGTTTAAAGGGTTGGTCGTTGGTAACTCCTATTTGGCTCAGGGGCCAATTAGTTTGTTTAGCATTTGCAAAGTGTCTATTCTTAAATTACTTCTCTGGCATACCTTCAATGGTCAAGCCTTAACCTCCAGTGGAGGTAATGGAATTAGACTGTGAAGTTGGAAGTTAGGAATTTGCACCTAATCATATTTATGTATGAGATTTGAATGAAGATCCTTGTTATTATTATACAAAAATTTGGCACCGGTCAAAGTGGCTGGTTTGACCATTGTGGAAAAACCAGCTTTATCGTGATAATAAAGCATAGCAAGCTTTATAATCTCATGAGCAACTTTTATCTTTTGAGGTAATGAAGAGCTAGCTCTAGTGTGTAAGTTATGACACTCTATGGATTAATTGAAATAAGGGCAAAGAATTTTGCTTGAAGGTAATCATCACTCAGTAATATATGATTAAGTAAATGATGCATGGATAGATAGATCAAGTTATAACTGTGGTTGAAGCTGATAAAGAGATTTTAGACATATTCCAGCTTCCTAGTACATAACTTCGACTGGCACCATGGACCTTTAATAGCTCTGAGAACTGTCTCTCAGAAATGGTGATAATTTTATCATTCAAACCAAATGAATGGTGAAATTATCAAATATGTTGAAATAATGATAAACACCGTCCGAAGAATCTAAGGAAGGTCGTATCTGTAAAGTGCTCTTCTTAGCTTGCTAAACCTGCATAATCTTGATTTGAAACCTATCTTGGATTCTTCTGCAGAATAATTGTTTTGTTTCTACTCTTGTTTCCTTCCTTAATGGGTTTTGGGTGTTAAAAGAGTAGGATCCTTTCTGTTGGATTAAATTCTAATATTTTTCTTCTTTTGCTAACAATATGTAGCATATTCTCATTTTACAGAGTAAAATGTGCAAAAGAATAGGAAGTTGATGGCAGCAGCAGAAGCAAGGGCCGTGTGGCAGAGAGCAGCTAATCGTTGTTTTGTTCAAGAAGATGCCAAAAGAGCTCCCAAATTAGCTTGCTGCCAGTCCTCATCTTCAACAACTAAACAGGCTGATGCAGGGCCTGCAACTGCAGCAGGAGGGCCAGATCATCCTGCTGCTGGTTTCATGCCTCTTAACAGGAATCCTTCATATTCCAGTCTACCCCCCGATGCAAGATGGTGGCTGCAAATGCAACCTAGCTATGGGTACCAAAAGGATTTTACATATGAACAGTTAAATGCATTGGAGGCCGACATGGAAACACTAAGAGCTGGGTTTGTGAAATCAGCACCTAAAACTAGCGAGGTCCGCCAACAGAAAGGAGAATGTACTGATGCTGATGGTCACAAGAACAGCAAAGTCCAAAAGCAAGATGTAAACGCCCAATATGGTAAGGACATGAAGGAACTTGTTCAGTACAAGGATATGAGAGAAAAATATGAAATTATGGGGATGGATACCATTGATTACCCCTTTTCCAAACAACCCGAGGAATTTTGTTGTGACTATCCTTGGATTGGAGGGGGGAGGGCTGAACCATGGTGGCGGACGACTGATAGAGATGAATTGGCCTCCTTGGTTGCGCAGAAGTCACTTAACCATATTGAGAACTGTGATCTTCCCCCACCTCAGAAAATGTATCATAAGAGACATCCGTATGCCGATATTGGATGTTCTGACCACAATGTAATATTGGGGACATCTTTAGATGGGAAGGCCCAAACTGGTTGTCTTTCGGATTTGACCAGTCATGCACGGTGCTATTCTGATCCTGGAATAACACGTGAAAGAAAGGGAGATGCAGCTGAAGAAGGGCACTCTGACAAATCATTCAGGTAGTTTTTACATATTAGATTGATAATTTTCAGTGGATGTTTCAGGGCCCATGGTTATTTTCTTGAATTGTTTCATCTTTTTTATATCCTGAAATAGATAAGTTGATTTCCCAAAAGGTATTTAGTTAAAAGAAACTAATGAAATTATTCCGTAGATGAAAATGATATGACTTTTGATATCCATATCTTATGGTCTTGTCAAATTTGAGTTAGTCAAGTTCATTTTTCACGTTCATATGTATAACACACATGATACTCAAATCTTAAATTTCGCAGGGATGTCACAGAGACACAACAACTTTCTGAGGGAGAACCTACCAAAGCTCAGCTTATGGAAGCTCTCTGCCATTCTCAAACACGTGCAAGGGAAGCCGAGAAGGCAGCAAAGCAAGCTTATGCTGAGAAGGAGCACATTTTTAAGCTCTTCTTCAAACAAGCCTCTCAACTCTTTGCCTATAAGCAGTGGTTCCAATTGCTGCAGCTGGAAACCCTTTGCATCCAGATTAAGAACAATGACCAGCCAGGCTCTGCTGTTGTCCCAGTGGTCCTTCCATGGATGCCATTCAAAGGTAGGAAACCACGGAGGAGCTGGCGTAAGGGTCCCAAGGGTAAAAGAGGCAGGCGGGCGGAACCCAGGCACGACATTACCAAGTATGCTATTGCTTTTGCATTGGGATTCAGTCTTGTTGGTGCTGGCTTGCTCCTGGGATGGACTGTGGGGTGGATGTTACCCCATTTCTAGGCTGTCTAGTAGTTCTGAGTTCTGAGCTCTAACCATTTCACGGGTCTTGTAATGATTGTTTAAAAGGGAATGTGTTTTGGGTTAATTTCTTTCTCTGTGTGTTCCATTAGATTTTCTTAATTTTCCTATGTGAATATACCCCTATGTGTTTGTATAAATGTTGTGATGACGGATGAGATTGTGTGTATATTATGTTTGGTTATTCTTCCACTTTGTGTATATAGCAAGTCTTGCTTCTTCCTTTTTCCTTTTTCCTTTTTCCCTCGCCCTGCAGACTATGTTTGGGATTCAAAACTCGTGTTTTTGAGTTTGACGGTATGATTTATGGGGACTTATGTAGTATCTACCGGTCCCTTGTAACATTATTGACTTTGGATTGGTGGTACAAGTAAAGGTTAGGGTTTTTGAGTTCGATTGAATTTGACTGGCACCGTAAGATCAATGTAGCATGGTATGGTACTAGAATACAGCCACATGTTATTATCCGCTTACATGTTTACAATATCAATGTAAGACAAGACTAAAATTTCCCACTTTTACCTCTGCTTTTTCTTTTTTTTTTACAAAGTGATATGGGGTAGGGGGAATTGAATATAAGACCTAACATGCAAGGATAAATACTCTTATTATATAGTACTGCAATATGAACTCGTACATGTTATAATACCCGTGGAAGACAAGATTAAGATTTGCCACTTTTACTTGACATGAGATGTGTTATTGTGGTCTGTCTATAAATTTCTTTATTATAAAAATAATAAAAAAATAATTATAAATAAAAATAAAAATAAAAAGGGAAAAAATACAGTTTAGTACTTTTGGGCCCAAATTATCATTCCACCTAAGCCCATAGCCAAGTTTCAGCCTGGGCTATGGTTAGAACTTAAGTGAAGTTAGCAAGTCCATGCTTGAGCCCAAATGTTAATTGCTGAATCCGACCCGTTAAGGACCCGGATCATTTTGCCAAGCAGATCCGTTTTCGCTTCCATTTTCAGCTCTCTAGGTTCTAGCTCAGAGGTACAGAGACAAAGAAGAAGAGTCACTCACACAAATACACAGGCACGCATTTAAGAGAGATGGCAGTGATGGAGAAGCTGAGGATGTTCGTAGCGCAAGAGCCTGTGGTCGCAGCTTCTTGCCTCATCGCTGGCTTTGGTACTCTCTCTCTCTCTCTCTCTCTCTCTCTCTCTGAGCTCTCGCAAAAACCGTATTTGATTTGGGATCAAATGGATGGGATTTGAATGCCAAAATTGAGGCACTAATGCAATTTTTTATCAACTGGGTTTTTGTTTCATGTGCAAAGCTTACAGAATTCGGGGCTTTTGTTCTCAGATTAGATATTTGCCAATCTCTTTTCTTTTGAGTGGTTTAGTTGTGAAGGTGTAATTTTGTGCATGTATATATATATATATACATCTCTTTGATGCAATGTGAGTCTTGGTTTTTTGCCCTATGAAGTTGTTTCAGTTTTTAAATAAGGAATTAAATACACGGTTTAAGGCAAAGTTATAATATTTTGGCTGAATTTTCGAAGATTTAGTTATCTAATTCCTCACTTATGAATCACATTTTTGGATTACACTTATTGAATTCCATGTTTTGGAGCTGTTTGTATCGGTATTTATTTATCTGCGAAGAGAAATATAGGACTTGGCTTGGGTTCTATTTATTCAATAACTTCATCCTAGGAGAGTAAAAATATGCTTCCATGGCTGGAAAAACATTGCCTGAAATCAGATATTTGAGCTCTATGCTCATTTTGATATCCAAGTTGAACTTTGATATATTTTATTTTTTTACGTTCTCAGCCTAAGAAACCTTCTTTAATGGATTAGAATTGCATTTTCCAATTACAAAATTATCTCTATAAACGAGGAAGTGATCACTTGTGAAACTATTTTCAATTTGCTCTTTGACACAGAGGTCAATTTTGGTTCCTGATATCTTCAGTTTAATAGATCAAACATTTTAAGAAGTATCAGTATCTATTAAGGATTGAAGGGCATCCCTGTTAGGGTTATGGCTATCTGCGACTGATTGGTTATTGTGGATAAAATTTCAGGTCTCTTCCTTCCAGCTGTGGTAAGGCCAATTCTAGACTCCTTTGAAGCTTCTAAGCAAGTCCCTCAGCCTGCTTTAAGCGATGTGAGTGTTGAATGATGCATGTTTTAAATCTTTCATTCATAGTTCACCTAATTATGCATTTTACCCCGTTGGAGTACTTGGATATTATGATGTTCATAGTGAATATGTTCATGTCTGATTCCTTCCTTGCGGGATTAGAACTTAAATTTAACTTGAATTTAATTAGTGCTCAAAAGATGTAGCGTCAATAGTTGTAAATTATGAATTATAAATAAATAAATAAAGCCTTATTGTTGTCATTGGTCCCAACACAGAGCATATCAGTACTGAGCTTCTTCAAGGAACCTTGTTTCCAATAAGTATGCCTTATTAGGTTGGTATTGTCCGGGCTGCACTTCATCTTATAGTTAGATTGGTGGTCTACATGGAATGCAATGGACCTTTTCAACCTGCTCCCCATCTCTTAAAATAGGTCTACTTGGTTAGGTTATGTGCTCTTACACATCCATGAGCATCTAAGTTGAAAAGGATAGGAAAAGAGAGACATAGTACAACTTGATCCTCTCAACTTGCTCCATCCCATACATGGTGTGCATGATTTGGTTATGTTCTCTTATACAGCCATTAGCATCTAAGTTCTAAAGGATAGGAAAATAGGGCTTGGTCATGTGATGGATGTTGCTTGCTAAAAATCAGCAAAATATTATTCACTTTGATCTGTGTTAGTAGCCAAAGAGGAACCGAGTCTATTTTAATATAAATTTCACACCCTCCTCTATTTTGGCCAGATATTTCATATGCAACTACAAAATTTTAACAAGATCCTTTTCACTTTAATGTTTCTTTATTATCACTCTTTTCTGAATAACTGGACATTTTTTGCAGGTTGTTGCAGGTATGACAGGTAAAAAGTAGAGGTGATATGATTCATTGATACAGGCGACACAATTCGAACAATCCCCCTCCTCTTTTCTCTTATTTCCATTTTCATCAGCAATGAAATAAGCCTGACAATCTTTTATGGAGAACTAAGTGATACTGCATATTGAATATTATCCTTTTTTGTTGTAAGCTTATGAATCGTTTCGTTGTTGTGTTAACTTTAAGTAGCTGAGCTTCATTTGAAGCCTGATTAATGCATTCCTTATGTTGCCAAAAGTTTTTGTTTTCATTTCTTCTGCTACATGGTTGAAGACCGTAACGTGTTCTTATACAATTGTTGTGACCATTTCTTTTAATGTGCTTGGTCTTAAAATCGTTGCTTCAGAATTCGGGCAGCAAATCGTAGCTATATATTAAAGGGTAGCAAGCAGGGGATTTCTAGATACAAATGCATACATAGCTAAACTGATATTGCAAAAGTTGTGCTCGGATTCTATTTTTCTTTATTCTATTGTCTTGTATAAACATTCTTTTGTCCCAATATACAAATGTAAATTTACTGAAATCTTCCCATTTCATTTCCATTTTATATATAAACAATGCAAAGTGTGATCCCAACCAAGAAATTTACTAGTGATATGTTGCAGCTAATGGAGAAGAAAACAAAACAGCAAAATAAGGTCTACATTTTACATAAACACAATTACAAGCCATTTTCATTTCGCATGACAACGTCCACTTTTCCGGATTTCAGCATGAAATCCTTTGATTGTGTAGAAAAGAAAATGTCATTTTCAAGTCACATAGAATATTACTGGACTGCAGCAGTTGACAGGTAATTTTGATTTGGACCTACTCTAAGGTGCGCACAGAGATGAGTCTAGATCACAATCCCATCTTTCTTCAATTTTCTACTCTTCCATGGAACTGCCTGCTTCAAGCCCTGGTAAATTGTTGTCTGCAAATCAAAGTAATTTTACATCAAATACATTAAAAATATATATATAACAAAACTACAAAATTACCAAATGAAATTCTAAAAACTTAAAGACTTTTCCCAAGTACAAAGCCTTGGCCCCAACCTGCCAACATAACATGTTCTCTCACCCTCATTCCCTTTCGCAGCCTACCCTACGCAACCCAATTTATGTTATTGTACTTAGAGACCTGCTTAGTTGGGTACACTTTGATGCAGGGGACCTCCTCCTTTTGCAAAAAGCTAGGGGACCTCTAAAGGCTTTGGACCAGTTTCTCAAAAACTATCTCGAGTTCATTTCTTCTCCATCAAATTTATAATGTCAAGTGTTAACAGGTAGAGGAAAGTGCAAGCCAGAATGTGAGGCAACTAAAACTAAAACCTAATGATTAGACAAAAGAAATGAAAGAAAGAAATATTTACCCAGAAATGAGGTCTGGCATGAGAGAGACTAGAAAAGCTCCCAGCTCTTCTAATCCTTGTGGTCTTCACCTTCCTACTGCTGCTGCTCTCTCCCACACTGCTGCCATCACTCTCTCCATCCACAGATGATGGAAAGACATAACTAGCCCCACCAACCTCTCTTTTACCCTTCAAGATCCTCCTCCCCCATGAATCAAACCACCCTCTTTCTTTATGCCCTCTCTTGCTCAGAACCACGGCACCAAGCTGCCCTCTCTCAGGGCTAAAAGCACCATAACACTCCATGCCCATCCTAAATGAAGAAGACTGAAACTTTGACCTGCCCACATAAGGACCCTCCAGGACTGTGGTGGGTGAAGGTTGTTTGGTTTCCAAAAGCAGCCTTGGAGGGAGTTCTAAGCACTTATGAGAAAAGTCAGTTGGGTTTGGAAGGGTGATGAGGGCAGTGCAAGGCCTTGGCTTGCCAGGCTCTTCTTCCCAGCGAAATGGAACTGAAACTGAGGTGTAGAGTGGTGGGGTTAAACTCCCAGAAGGCTCAAGTGACTGAATTTGAGGGACAGAAAACAAGGGTAGCTTTAGTGCCTCTTCCTCTACCTCTGCCTCAGATCCCATGGCCTCTAGTGATCTCTCTGTGGCTGATCTCTGGTGATTGAATCTCATAAAAGAGTTGAAGAGTATTTTGAGTGACTAAAAGAGATGAGAGACAAAGGGAAAGAGAAAGGAAAGTCTTAAAAGGAAAAAGCCACCACTTTTAGTCACATCTGTCTTAATGGAGCCTTGCTATGTTTGCTAAACACATAAGCTCTCATATAATTGTGACTTTGACAGGGGGAAAACCCAACATGCGGGTAATTGGTGGAGTGCACTAATATATCCATTACACCTGCTCTTTTCTTTTAAAGTAGAATTAATATTGAAGAAAGACTTTTACGAAACAGAAATAGCATTATTTTACTATTCTGGTCGATAGCATTACAACGACACACGTGATAACACTGTTATTCTCATTCCAACTAAGTTTTTCTTGAGAATGTGGTAATAAAAGCAAAGCAGCTTTATATCTTATCTCCTTTGTTACTGGGAAATTTTGACAATGACTTCACTGTACACTGAGGTAGTCTTACTCTGCCAATCACATGAGGGCTTGTAGCACATGGTAGCACAATTGTGCACATGAGCATACCTTATTGCAATTGTGAAGCATAGGATGCCAACCTGTGATGGAGAACAAAACCCTTTTCAGAAGTAGTACACTGAGCCTTTCTTGGACTTTAGTTAGTCAATCAAGGCCCTTCCAAAAAAAGTCATTCTCCATTGTCACTAAAAACCAACCATCCCAATCTCTCAAGACAACAACAGATGTGCATGAGCGTGTCCTTTAGAATCTATAAAGGTTTTTTTTTCTTTATCGAAATCTATCAAAGGTTCAAGCACTAGAAAAAAATTAATGCAAAAGAGTTGAATTTAGAGAGGCTGGCACTAGGAGGACACCAGCTGGGTTTTGAAAGTCTAAACAACCTGCCTCCAAATTGACCATAGATGTTATTAACGATCAAAGTAAATCCCTGCCTGCATTGTTGAAAATTGGGCTCTACTTCTATATACCCCCTGTTGAAGAAAAATGTGACCCCCGAATACTTAAAATGAACCATGCGAATGCGAACTGATGATCTCATAATGCACCAACAGCTTGCAGTCATTCACGAGCGCATAGATAATTAATATTAACATGATTCTATTGGGTCTGCATGAATTGTAGAAAATTGGGCTCTACTTATATAAGCCTCAAGTACTTGCAATGAGTAATGCAAATAAGCTTATGATCTCACAATGCATCAATAACTCAGAGTTACTCGCAGATTAAAAAACAATTGATACTAACATGATTCTATTGGCAACATTTAGTTGATTTTGGAGCACACTACAAGTCTACTAAGCCTGATATGACATACAGCAAGAAGTAATATAATAATAAAAGCAAGATTTTCCTATAACTACAGGAGAAAAATGACAAATTAGTAAATGTCCAAACAATGATCTCATGATATATGTGGCTAAACAGTGTTCTAGCTAGCGTGTTAGCTGCGGCATGCCACCCGAATGCAAAAGTCAAGGGGTAAAGTAGAAAGCATCAAGTCATTTTCATAATCAAACAACCCCTTGCTCAAAGCAGATTTGTGATCTCAAAAAGATCGAAGTGCTTTATTTATCTCTCCTTTGACTATAGAGTTTCAGAGTTTAGACCTCATTGCCACACATTAACCTCATAAAATTACCTCTTTCTTTCCCTGTGGATGAAGTAAGAGGAGGGCTGAATCTAGAAATCCGACTATCCTAATTGATGTTGATATAATATGGTTTGTTTTATTTGGCAAAAATGCTAACACTTACTAAATCCATAATCATTACCAAATTTCAACTAGTACATAAACTGGGGCAACCAATTATTAAAGTGTATTAAAGTGTAATTATGTCATACAGCTCTAAAAAGTAGAAAGCAACAAAAGAAACAAAACACGTTTTTTTTATTTTTTCCAGTGGAAAGAGAGTTTGGTGGTGGTGGCAAACAATCATGCTTACGACAGAAACCCCCCAACCCAAATGAAGCCCATTAATCAGTTGAGGGCTGCTCATTAAAACCCATGAAACTAAAATTCTGTAGCTGATGAGGTGAAGCTGTAAGAGCCTGAAATTTTCTGGGCTTTTTCTTTTGAGTTATGAGATCCCAGGCTTAGAAGACAAAGACATTAAGATTTAAGTGCTCGTTCGGTGTCTAAGTTTGGATTTAGTGACTTATCTAATTCAATTCAATTCAATTCTAGACACGAAACGAGTCCTAAGGGACTAGATCAGGCTAACTCATTGAGTGGCAGAGTGAATTTACAGGTATATTTTTACCTCAACTTCCACCGTTAAAAATTTACAGCTCTATGAAAAATGGTCTGAATAAGTTTGTGTGTTTAAGTAAAGCTAGCCCAATTAAGAATTTGCACTCTCGTGCTCTTTTGCCAAAGTGCAAGAGGGGTTTGGAGAATGCAAATAGCACCTCCCTTTGGTAAAACTACAAATAAACGTAGAACAAAAGCAAGGGACAAATTTTCTTCCACTGTCCTGTCTTGTACAATTTTTGGTGAAATATTTTATATGCTTTTAACGTGAAAGACAGTAGAATGTGTCTTTCATTATTGTTTTAAAACAGAATATAAACAAGCCAGAGCTTTCACACAATCTTTCCCAGCTCCATTTCCTTTAAAATCAAGCGTATATAATATGCTCTTCTATATTGAACAATTAACTTCTACTTCTTCTTCCGTCTTATCTTATCATACAAATTGTCAATTTCTGTCATGCATTAAAAAAGAATTCATGTTTTTTTAAATAATTTAAATTAACGGTGTGTGACAATATATATATATATATATATAAATTCTCCTATACGGACGTCCGGATGTTATTATCATGCGGACGCTATGTATTTTCTACTACCCCTCCCTGCTTTCTTCCATGTTTATAATGGCATCCGCATAATAATAACGTGCGGACATCCGAATGAGAGAATAACATAATGGAGTACAGAAAAATTCAAAGAGCATGGCAAGGGTTCTATTTACAAAAATTATAATTAAAAAAAAAGCATGGCAAGGGGTCTCTGCCAGTCTTCTTTTTCTTCTGAAGTTGTTTGAAAATGAATAGCAATTTTACAAGAAACCTCAAAGAAGCCAACTCCGGAAATGTCTGCAAAACACTAGGGGAAAAAAGGCATGAAAGCCACTTCTTTTAACGACAATTGGGCCTTTTTTGTGTTTATAATATAATAATACGTAGTTTCTTTTTCCCATGATATAAAGGCAAAAAATTTCTGAGCCTGATGCAAATTTGCCTCAGTATGATATTTTTAAGTTCATGCATAGCACATGCTTTTTCAAACATGGGCAATAGATTTCATATTGTTTGCTTCAGTATCTCACATTTGACTGGGAAGAAGATTGCCCTTTTACATGTTCAATTGAAATTTTCCCTTTTTTTTAAAATGATTTTTAAAATGAATAAATGAAAGAGTTGGTGACTTGAATTTGTCATTACAGACAATGATAATGCTCTCATATCTTCTGTCGTTGTCAAATGGATTTTTGACCTTTTGATACTTCCTTTTCACCCTTTCTCCACCACACCTCCTTTCCAAGAAGTTATCTTTGTGAAAGCAACACAACACACCTGCCTCCACATTTTAGACATCTTAAAGCAAAAGTTGCCAATTGTGACCAAAAGGACTAAAATTGAAACCAAATACCAAACATATATATGTATTTTTACAGGCCGACTGAACTTAAACACAACCACACCAAGTATTGACAGATTCCATTTCTAATCCTGATCAAGAGTAGCTGCTCTGCTTCTGGCATGAAAGTCTGCTAACCCATCACCAAAAACCCAAATCCCAACCTAGCCTTCTGCTTGCCTAGCACATGCTCCAAAAATATGAGCAAAACAACTACCAACTAACTTCTCCCAGAAGAAAATGGAGATAAAATAAACCCACAACAAGAAGTAAGGAAATTTGAACTATCATGTTTCACATCTATGCTCAGAATCCACGCTAACCGTCCCTTCACAATCTAAAGATGAATTCTGAAGCTTACATCTATTCATCTTCTGTACTTCGTCGCTTGAATATATAAATATCTTCTTCACCAACTTACAGAAGTCCCTGCATTTGGAAGAAGTTGAATATTCTCAGAACCCTAGTTCATTTTTGTATTGAAATGAAATGGTGCAATAGACAAAATCTTATGTTACTTACAGCCACTGATCATCGCCCATAAGCATCATGTCATTTTCATCATCAGTAAAAACAACTGCCCATTTGTTCAGTGGACGAAGCTCTCCTTTGATCTCAAACATTTTCTCTAGCTCATCAATTAGATGATCGTAGCCTTTCAATGAAGTCAAGTCCACAGCACGACCAACAGCAACCCCTTGCATTTGCACCTTCTCAATAGACAATAACAAATGCTCATAAGAAACAACTGCTTTTTTAAGTAGTGGTGTGAAACAATAGAACTAGCAAGACTCCGCATTTTACCTTAGTACGAGTTCTTGTTGAGAGAGTCGATCCTTGCTTGCCCTGTGTGTCTCCCGGTGATGCCTCTGAGATTACTTGTTTCTGCTCCTTTGAGAGCTTTGAGACATCCAGATCCTGATCAACTTCAAATGCAGCAGCTGTAATAGGTCCTTTACCACCACACGACATTGTTTTACACACTGGCTCGCTCTCTGGGGGAGAGACAGTTTTAGAGTTGTTTGTCAAGTTATATCCGAACAACCATAAATCTGAACTGTCAGATTTCTTCTCTTTTCCCACCTGGCCAGGTATCAGGGTATTACTTGGCTTTGATGATGCCTTCGATGAAACCCGGGAGGCAATGCTAGAGAGAACAGAACCCGTAGTTACATTTTTGTTGCCCTCCTTCAAGTCTGGAAAAAGGCTTAAGGAGACATTCACGTGTGGAGAAGGCGGCCAGATGCCCTCTGAGTAGACCCTCGAGCTAGAGTAACTACTGCTATTGCTTTCTTTCTGCCTCAGAGGCCAGACAACCTGACTACCAGAGCTTTGGACTTCAGGAACACCACCTAATTGGTTTAACTCCACGGTCTGGGTTGAGCCATGATACCAGAAAGCTGAAGCAGGTGAATTGGTGGTAATTTCTACATTCCAATTGATGCATAGAAGTCAAGACACTAAGACCCGCCCAAGATTCCAACAAGAATATTAATCAATAAATAATCCACAGCAGTAAATTTTCA